TGTTATAAACAATGCAAAGAAATGCAAGCTTAGCAATAACAAAACCTAAGGTCTTACCCTTGACAGTTTTACACCAAAAAAAAAAAAAAAAACACTGAAGTCAGGTTTAGGGTTCATTACACTTGCACTTTGTTATGTCCACAATAAGAACAAGGAAAATTAAAGAATTGTTTATAGGTTGCTGCTGTTTATACAATTTGATGGTTGTTGTTTATACACATTCATTGCTACTATTTATACACTTTAATGGCTGCTGTTTAGCAAAATTCACTGTTAAAATACCATTTACACATCATGATTTGGCAACCAAATTAAATATTGTCAATTATAGTCACTCCAAAAGAGTAAGCATGTACTATGTACTCAACATTGATTATAATGATGGGTGCAAGAATCAAACTATTCTATACAAAGGATGAAACACTTACTAGAACCAGTTGTCTGTGAAGATGGAGATGCATCCATCCATAGGAGATAGAGATACAGATGCATCCACAAGAAATGGAGATGTTGACACGTGAGCTAGGACCTCAGTCGGGGTTGCCTCTGTCACTGAAGTCATCGACCTCTTCTTATTGGCTTGTCCAGGTGGCATATGTGTAGTCTTTGTATGTAACAAATGAATTATAAGCAATACATTAATAAAGATTTAAAATGCTTGACAATTCATGAAATTGTAAGATAAGCTAATAGTCTAATATTAGAACCACATTACAAGTAATGAAATTATGAACAAAAAATTTGACTTCATTAACAAGTGCATGCCATTACAATCAAAATGACTTCATAATGTAAAAAGTAAAGGACATTACAATCAAGACTCTCTATCATGATTTGTATCTGAGTCACTATGTCTATGAAATTCATCTTCATCATCACTAGGATCACTTGAATTTTGATCATCATCATCATCACAGATAAAATCATCTCTGTTTGCACCCTCTGCATATGCACCTCTACTAGATGGCAGAACCATTTGACTTGGAATAATATCAGGTGCAATATCAGTCCTACATAAAGTGTTGCTAATGGAATCTGTAATGGTGATTTGGACAATTTCAGTGGTCTCGTCCTACTAGAACACATCATTTGAAATAGGCAATTCATTATCATTGGGATCTACATCCTCAAGCTCCGATACATTCCATATTCCTCAACGTTGAAGTCGCACTACAACTTTCTAATGTTCACCTAATTTGGTATCATTGACATAAAAAAACTTGTTGCACTTGACTTGGCAAGACAAATGGGTCATTTTGATACCAACGACTTCTTACATCAATGGTTGTTAGATATGTTTCAGTGCAAAATGTTCTGCTGCTACCAGTGTTAAACCATTCACATTGAAACAACACAACTCGATGCCTGAACATGTATGTCATTTCCCAAACTTTAGTCAAGTGACCATAGAAATCAATTGACATTTCCCCTTGAACCTAACCCACTATTTTGACTTTTACGACGATTGTCTCTATCTTTGAAAGTAATTTCCCAACTTAAACAATGCAATAGAAATGTTCTTGTCAAGATACCCACGCATCCCAATAAGAAGAAGTCGTTGTATGAGGACATGGCAATCATGACTTTTCAAATCGGATAACTTGCCGCCATTAGTGCTCGCACACCTAGAGATGTTTGTTGCATATCCATCAGGATACCTAATTGATTTTAAGAACTCACAAAAACCTTGTCTTTCCTTTGGAGACAATGTGTACAATGCAAGGGGCTTTTTAAAGGACCCATCTGTGCGCCTCTTTAAGCGCAAATCTTTCCTAATTTTCATATCCTCTAAATCCATGCATGCTTTTTCTGTGTCCTTGTTATTTCCATCAATGCTCAACAAAGTCCCAATCAAATTGTCATATATGTTCTTCTCTATGTGCATAACATCGAGATTATACCGTAACTTAAGTGTCTTCCAGTACGGCAAGTCGAAAAATATACTTTTCTTTGTCCAATTCAATATTGTATTTTTATCCATTTTTTCTTTTCTGGTTGCTTGGATGTTTCCCAAATGGTTTAAATGTTCCTTTCCATTAAAGAGCTTACTGTTTTGCCAAGGATGGTCTTGAGGCAAGTATCAGTGAGCACTAGTGTATCCTATCTTACTTCTTAACCGTTGTGATGATGTATTCTTATTACAATTGGGGCAAGCCAAATATCCTTTTGTACACCACCCTAACAAGTTACCATAAGTAGGAAAGTCATTAATAGTCCACATAATAATCGCATGCATTCGAAAACTTGCCCTAGTTGAGGCATCATATATAACTACACCATCTTTCCACAACTCTTTTAATTCGTCAATTAATGGCATCAAGTAAACATCAATATCTCTCCTTGGTGCTTGCAGTCCGGGAATTAGCAATGACATCATGGAAAATGGTTGTTTCATACACTTCCACGGTGGCAGGTTATAAGGCATAACTACTACAGGCCACATATTATATGAGTTGCTTATATTTCCAAAAGGGTTGACACCATCGGTGGCCAACCCTAGCCTCACATTACATGATTATTTGGCAAACACAGTATGTTGCCCATCAAAGTCCTTCCATGCCTCACCATTGGCTGGATGCCTTAATATGTCATCATCAACATGTTTTGCTTTGTGCCATCTCATATTTGCAGCAGTTTTTCTGGACATGTATAATCTTTGCAAACTCGGTGTCAATGGAAATTATCTCAAAATCTTATGAGGGATCTTCTTACCTTTGCCATCATTCAGTTTGTATCTAGGCTCCTTACAAATTCGACAATTTTCTAAATTTGCATTTTCCTTCCAAAAAGAGCACAATCATACTTACATGCATGAATAGGCACATATCCTAAACCCAAGTCACGCAAAAATTTCTTGGCTTCATAAAGAGTCCACGGAACCTTTTGGTCACTTTCTGGTGAAAGGTCTTTCAATACACCCAACAATATGTCGAAAATTGCTCCACTTGTTTAACACTTTCATATGAAGCATCTTAATGATAAACAATAACAAAGTAAACTTTTGACAACCAAGGTATAACAAACGTTGAGCATCCTCTAACTATTTATCAAAGTTTCATGCATCCTCTTTTTGCTCATTATCATTCCTCTCATCCTTTTCATCATCATCATCAAAAATATTCAGCATGCATTGGTCTTCTAACATATCACTCAATTCATCTTCAAGGTCAAGGCTTTCATTGGTTGTCCCTGCATCACTAACACCTTCAACTCATTGTCATTATTCCATACATGAGGTTGAATGACTAGAACAGTTTCCCCATGGTGCACCCTAGTTTTGTATGAAAACGACATCCCTTTTCGGATCAAATGATATTCCACATCCTTAATGGTATGACGTTCAAAATTTAGGCAATCCATACACGGACAATGAATTCTATTATCTAGGCTAACATTTGTCATTGGAAATTGGAGAAATGACTTAACCCTTCTCTATACTCCGAACTCAATCTATTTCTAATGGACATCTAACTCTGGTCCATATTTGATCACCTATAAAGTAGGGGTTATGTTAGATAAACGTATCATTTATTTGCTATGGTTATATGCATGGGAAAAACAATAAATTATATACAAGTGACTAAACCAAGAACCAACTAACTAATTTTCACACAAGCAGATCAACACAAAAAGTACAGAAATGTATACAAAAATTTAATGTATGCACTATAACAAAGACATCAACACAAACAAAGATAGCATCCTTGTTCAGCCTCTTTGGAGAGGTTCCGAACAGCAAAACAGAGGCGCATCTAAAGCAGCAAAAGGTAAAAATACAGCATGGAGTGAATAGAAAAATAGTGAATAAAAAATAGCCTAGGAAGGTAGTAGCATAAAAGATTTCAAGTTACAAAAAATTATTTCCAAACACTTTAGAATATGAAAGTTTGATGTAGTTCCTAGAGATCAAATGATTAGCTTTGATCATCTTAAAATGGTAAGGGCTTTGTTTTAGAATTCTGCTTGCTGGCTCTTAGTTGATAATGCAATTCTCATTCATGACTAATTGGGAAAAGGCGTGGGGTCATTCTTCCATCTTGTACTTTGTAATTCACAACCAAGTTGGGTTCTTAAGGATGGACTCATATAGAATCTGCTCTCTCATATAAGGAAAATAACTAGGTAAGACAAAAGGTAGCTTTGTAGGTTTAGCAATTGTTTGATTTTATTGCTTTTACCTCACTAGATGAGGTTAGTTGTCGTTACTTGTAAAACCAAATCTGTAAGGTCTTGGTCCTTGAACTTTCTTTAAAAGTTTGATTTACTTTGGTATATCTCAATAAGTATCACAATGATGATGACAAAGGTATTCTGGCTGACATAGGTATGAACTACCTGACAAGGAGACTTCAATGATAAAAAAAATTTTGAACAAGCTGCTGCCTATAGGTGCCCTGGTCGTCATGTGTTGGTGCAATGAATATAGCTAAAGATAGTATTGCTATTATAGGATTAGTTGCACAGATATCAACCATTTCATAGCCACTAGATTCATCATGAATTTTAATAGATCTCAATTTAGAAGAATATTACAGGACACATTGGATTACATGGGCATGTTGTTGGTTTTTTCTTTTTATTTACTTCATGGTCAGGTATGGATTTATTTTTTATTATTTTGAAAATGATAATGTTTATGGACCAAATAAATGTACAATATAACTGACTCTTCTTACTTTGTAAGGTGATAGTATCTTATTCTTCAAATTTATGTTCTTTGCCCATGCTTTTATGCACTCTAACATGATGTTGCAGCATGATCATGTTCCAATCTGTGTCTTTTGTTTGTACTATAGGGATATTTTATCTTCTTAACACCTGCTCTTGGGTGGGCTTGTGCTGTTTGTGTTAGGTATCAAGCTTTAATTTCTAAAGTTGGGTGACAATGTGGCTTTAAGTTCCCAGATCAGTTTCCTTGAATCTTGATGACAAATTACTATGTGAAATTTTAGATTTTGTAACATTTTGTGTCTTCTGATAAGAGTGGAGAGATTAGAAGGATGAAAAGTAGTTTGAGAGGTGGCAATAGCTTTGCATTTATTTCTCATGATATTAATGCCCTTGAGCACTCTAATCAGGTCAACCTGCCCAGAGTGACTGTTGTAATGCCTTTGAAAGGCTTTGGAGGGCACAATCTACATAATTGGAGAATTCAGGTACATTATTTGGAGCACACATATTACCTAGTAGTTCCTTGTTCTCTCCCATTTTTAAAGCTAAAAAAGGAAAACAGTGAAGAACTCGATTACTTTTCTTTGGTATTTGTTTTTTCTTGGTTTGTTTCTTATCGTTAGTCCAGTTATAAGCAAATACATGTAGCTAGACATACTCCCATTGAAGAGTCAATAATTGCAAGTAATTTGTCTTTATGCTAAGACAAAGTGAAGAAAATTGACACAAACTATAATTTGCTACGACTGAATCTTAGTTTCTTTTTGAAGTTATGATTCATGTATTACTGCCTAATTAGATGCATGTAAAAACACCTTGACAACAGAGGTATCAAGATTTCATTCCTTGTTTTCTCTGAAATACTAATTCTTTAAGAGTCTAGAAGTTATTTAAAAAAATTTGTTTAAAACTTGAAACTTTTGTAGTATGTTTCCCTTAACTGTGAATATTCTTAGGGTAAATTACACTTTGCCCATCTATTGGTGAGGGACCAACAACAAAGGGATAACAGCCAAGTGGCTGAGACAGAAAAAAAACAACAGCATCAGTAGTACAGATACAATGTTGCAGTGACAGCAACACAGATACACTAAAGAAAAAACATGATTTGACTAAGATTGCGGACAATGTCACGCATTGAGTAAGAGAAGCTTGGGAGGTTGGATTTGGCCCAAAGAGTAATTGTCCATTTCACTTAGTGCTATGATGAGTTACATCAGTTATGGATTTGTTATAGAATTTACTCAAATTTGTTACAGTCAATCAAAATCTGAAATCCATATAGATACGATGATTTCGCAACAATAAATCGAATTATTACCATCATGATAGTAAATGGTAATAGCAACCCACAAAACCTTTCAAAGTCCATCACTAATCAATAACAAACTAAAAAACAGAGAGAGAACCAGATATATAATACAATACTAAAACCTTCAAATACAACAACCACTCTTAAACCCAATTCAAGAAACACTATATACAACCAGCTACCAATGCTCATAAATGATTATAAGAAAAGCAAAATCTAGGAGTAGCAACTAAATTAGCAGAGACATTTGAACATCTAGAAAGACAATGAACACTACAACAAAATGCACCTTTGATGACCAAAATTAGCGACTAAAAAAAATTTAGTCGCCAAAAGTTGTGGAATTGGCGACCAAAAATTTTTTTAGTTGGCAAAAGTAAAATATTTAGGTACTAATTTTTTTTAGTCGGGGTATATTGGTTATTGGCAACTAAAAAAAAATTTGTCGGTAAAAATGCCAAAATTGGTAACAAAAAAAAATTAGTCACCATATATTGAGCTTTGGCTACTAAAACCGTTTAGTCGCCGAATGGAAAATGAAAAATTATTTTTTTTACCTTTGGTTTGGTCACCAAAAGTTAATTTTTCACGACAAAAAAGAATTTTAGTCGCCGTATATTGAGTTTTGGCTACTAAAACCATTCAGCCACCGAATGAAAAATAAAAAATTATTTTTTTCCTTTGGTTACCAAAATTTTGGTCTCCAAAAGTTTATTTTCAGCAACAAAAAAAGAATTTTAGTCTCCACATAACTAAAATTTTTGGAGGGATTTATAAAATACTTCAGCGACTAAAAAATTTTAGTCGCCAATAACCATCTACATAAAATATCTCACGCACTTACTCTTCTCTCTCATCCTCTCTCATCTCTCTTTCTCTCATTCTATAGAGAGTTGCCCGCCACCGTCGCAAGGAAGGGAAGCTTTTGGCGGCGGAGGAAGAGGAGGCGATAGAGGCAATGGAATGAGAGATCGCGATGGCCGCGACGGCGGAGGAAGGGACAGCAGAGGCCAAGGCGGTGGAAGAGGAGGAATGAAGGGGGGGAGTAAGGTCGTGGCTGAGCCGCATAGACATGAAGGAGTGTTCATTGCTAAGGGTAAAGAAGATGCGCTTTGCACCAAGAATATGGTCCCTGGTGAAGCCGTCTACAGCGAGAAGAGGATCTCTATTCAGGTAAATGTTGAAATGATTTGGTGAAAGATTATTTTTCTATTGTTTTTGTGAAGTTGGAAATATAATGGTATAGTTTTTTTAGCTTTTTGAAACTGTTGTGTGTGAAGCACTAGTTATTAAACACAAATGATCAACTGGGTCACTGGTTTGTGTCACAGTGTGCAATATAGTTGTTGTTTGAGGTGGTACTTTATATTCTTGTGGCTATAATTCACATTTAAGCCATAACTACCATCTTAAGATGAAGATTTGAGGTCAAACTTTTGTACACTATGGGGGTCTGATATACTTTTGTACTGAAAGTTAGGGTTCTGTAATTTCATAGCTATTGATTTACATTGGACTTTCATTCGCCTTGAGTTATAATTCTTTTAGTTACTTGCTATGTTTGTTTCTTGATTGACCAAGGTGACACTTTTCTAACTGACTATTGAGTAATCATGCTTGTTCATTACTTGTTTGTTAATGTGTTTAGTCATTTTCTTTTCCTTTTAGAATGAAGATGGGACAAAAGCTGAATACAGGGTATGGAATCCTTTTCGTTGAATACACTCTTTTTTTTTTCTTGCCTTCAAACTATTTGATAAAATGTCTCTTAGGCTTCTCAAAATTCAAAGCCACAAGCCTAACTTATTGGCAGTGTAATTGGTGCTCAAACATGTACTGAATCAAGCCCACAACAGCTCCAAATCTTAATCTTTTGAAGCCACTGCTTGCATATTCAAATCTTAATTTGTTAAATCAAAAATCATTCATAGTGTTTTCAATTAGCTACTTCACTAATTTTCCCTCATTTAGTCTTGCTATATCAATTATAATAAATATTGTGCTATTCATCTTAAATTAACTGTCATAGCTAATTGATAAACTTACTGTGTTAGTCACTGTATTAAGTATTTGATATCTTGAGCTAAATTTTCTATTACCTTCTCTGACTTGATTGAGTTGAAACCAGTGCTTATTCCTTTCTATAACTCACAAACTGTTTAGTCAATATTCATTCATTGCATTTCCGTTAACTCATCACTGATAGTTCATCATGTGTTTCATCATTAACTGATATATTTGATTTTATTGACTGTGGTTGCTTGAACTCATTTGTAAATCAACTAGAACACATTATGTTATTCACCTAAGTTATAAGTTCATTACTTGGTATATTTTTTGCTGTATAACTAATATTGTGCATTATATCCTCATAAATCGTTATTTGCCTATTTTAGTTGAAATCTTTGCAATAACAATCTGTTAAGCTAAAAGGAACCATTCACCGATTTTTCTTTATTTAGTCTTGCTATATCAATTGATATATTCACTGTGTTATTCATCTAAATTCAACTGAGTTAGTTATCTAATTTTTCCTTCTTCATAAGCTAAATTACTTGTTAAATAAATTGAACCATATTTTGTTTAAACAACTCTACATATTTGATTAGTTACCTCACTGGTTTTTGTTACAGATTGATGATGTTGGCATGGATGCAGTGATGTTTTTGGGCCAAATTGATGATGTTTGCATGGGCGCAATTTATATTATATTTTTATTTATAGAAAATATGTACACCTGATATGTTTTGTTATTAAGATTTTTTTTTTTAAATTTAGATTTTAATTGTTGGTTTGGATAGTATATGTATTTATTGGATTATACTATATTTATGGATTCTTATTTTCTTTGATATGTACGGTGAATAGTTAAATTTTATATGTGGTTGAAAATTGAATGCTACAGGTTGTAGAGAAATATTTTTATTGAATGGTTGAGAATTGAATGAATGAATGGATGAATAATTTTGTATATGCACAGGTTATAAGTGGCACAAAAAATATTACAGAACAAATTATAAAAACTAAATGAGACCTTTTGGCGACTAAACAAATATCACAGGTTGACTTTTGGCTACGTTTGTTTCTTGATTGACCAAGGTGACACTTTTCTAACTGACTATTGAGTAATCATGCTTGTTCATTACTTGTTTGTTAATGTGTTTAGTCATTTTCTTTTCCTTTTAGAATGAAGATGGGACAAAAGCTGAATACAGGGTATGGAATCCTTTTCGTTGAATACACTCTTTTTTTTTTCTTGCCTTCAAACTATTTGATAAAATGTCTCTTAGGCTTCTCAAAATTCAAAGCCACAAGCCTAACTTATTGGCAGTGTAATTGGTGCTCAAACATGTACTGAATCAAGCCCACAACAGCTCCAAATCTTAATCTTTTGAAGCCACTGCTTGCATATTCAAATCTTAATTTGTTAAATCAAAAATCATTCATAGTGTTTTCAATTAGCTACTTCACTAATTTTCCCTCATTTAGTCTTGCTATATCAATTATAATAAATATTGTGCTATTCATCTTAAATTAACTGTCATAGCTAATTGATAAACTTACTGTGTTAGTCACTGTATTAAGTATTTGATATCTTGAGCTAAATTTTCTATTACCTTCTCTGACTTGATTGAGTTGAAACCAGTGCTTATTCCTTTCTATAACTCACAAACTGTTTAGTCAATATTCATTCATTGCATTTTCCGTTAACTCATCACTGATAGCTCATCATGTGTTTCATCATTAACTGATATATTTGATTTTATTGACTGTGGTTGCTTGAACTCATTTGTAAATCAACTAGAACACATTATGTTATTCACCTAAGTTATAAGTTCATTACTTGGTATATTTTTTGCTGTATAACTAATATTGTGCATTATATCCTCATAAATCGTTATTTGCCTATTTTAGTTGAAATCTTTGCAATAACAATCTGTTAAGCTAAAAGGAACCATTCACCGATTTTTCTTTATTTAGTCTTGCTATATCAATTGATATATTCACTGTGTTATTCATCTAAATTCAACTGAGTTAGTTATCTAATTTTTCCTTCTTCATAAGCTAAATTACTTGTTAAATAAATTGAACCATATTTTGTTTAAACAACTCTACATATTTGATTAGTTACCTCACTGGTTTTTGTTACAGATTGATGATGTTGGCATGGATGCAGTGATGTTTGCATGGGCGCAATTTATATTATATTTTTATTTATAGAAAATATGTACACCTGATATGTTTTGTTATTAAGATTTTTTTTTTAATTTGGATTTTAATTGTTGGTTTGGATAGTATATGTATTTATTGGATTTTACTATATTTATGGATTCTTATTTTCTTTGATATGTACGGTGAATAGTTAAGTTTTATATGTGGTTGAAAATTGAATGCTACAGGTTGTAGAGAAATATTTTTATTGAATGGTTGAGAATTGAATGAATGAATGGATGAATAATTTTGTATATGCACAGGTTATAAGTGGCACAAAAAATATTACAGAACAAATTATAAAAACTAAATGAGACCTTTTGGCGACTAAACAAATATCACAGGTTGACTTTTGGCTACCAAAATTTTAGTCGTCAATTGTCAAAAAGTGAAACTTTTGGCTACTAAACTTTTAGTTGCCAATTGTAAAAGGTAAACTTTTGGATACTAAATTTTTAATCGCCAATTCTCAAAAAGTGAAACTTTTGACTACCAAATAGTTAGTCGCCAAACATACATGCTGAATTGGCTACTAAATAATTTAGCCGCTAAAATTAAAATATATATATATTTAATTATTTTTAAAAAATATATGGCGAATAAAGTTTTAGTCGCCGATAGGTCACTTTTGGCTACCAAAAAAATTTTAGTCGCTAATTGTCTTTCCTGACGAACAATTGGAAACCAAATATATTAGTCGCCAAAAGTAATTCGTGACTAAAATAAGACTTTTGGCGACTAAAATTTTAGTCGCTAAAAGTGAAATTTCTTGTAATCATAATCAATTGAACTAAATCGAACAATATAAAAAAAATAAATAAAAGGATTAGAACTATAGTAATCTAATTGATATAACTAACACATTATATTATCATTTTGAAAATTAAATAGAGCTATTCTAAGCTTGTATTTGAATTTTTGAATTTAAATGAAAAGATTTGAGTATTTTTAATCATTAAATGAAAATAGCTTATATTGTCTAATCTTTTTTTTTTTTTTTTTTTGGGGGGGGGAGGGGGGGGGGTGTTTGTTTGAAGGGATTAGAAAGGAGGATTGGACTCAATGTTTGTCATATCTAGTAGTCCGTTGTTTAGTTGAAAAATTATAAATTGGACTAATAGTCTAGTCCTATATCTGAGACTATCCTATCCTGGGGGAGGAGTGGGATACACAGTCCCTGAACAAGTCCTCCTAGTAAAAAGACAATTTTGTCCTCCAAATAGTTAGACATGTTTGATTTTATTTTCAAAAACTAATTTTTAATTTAAAAAAATAATAAATAATTTTAAAAATAGTATTTTCTTGATTTCTAATCCCATGACTAAACAAATATGAGATACACTTCATTTCCAACCAAATAGTCCATGACTTATGTATCTCAAAATTAACAGTCTAATGAATTATAATCTCTCTTATTCAATCCATCTAAACAAATATGCCCACAAACCCTTCTTAATTAAATGTTGGGACAGCTCCGAGACTATTTTTTTTTTGGAGGGGGGGAATATTGGGACAACTCCAAGACTACATTTTTTTTTTGGGAGAGGGGGGGGCGATAATTGATTTTTCATGTTAATTTACACACGTCTCAATTAATTTCAAAATTCTAAAATTATTGCTTGAACAAATCTTTTTTTTATTATGTAGAGTATCTTGAGCCAGTTTACGCGTATTAGATTAAGTCTCTACAATTCGAACAAGCCTTCCGAAATAGGACTTATGTCATGCGGTCTGTGGTCTCAAAGTATGTATTTGTTGGTTAGGAGATTCGAACCTAAGACCTGAAAATGAGCAAATCTCCAAATCTAAGTCATCACCCACTAGACCAACCACACTATATACTACAACATTTTCTTAGTTTAGTGACATTTGAAAGTGCCACAAAATTTTAAAGTATGGTTATTACAAAGATACAGGAACTTCCTGATGCAACGAAAGCAATGAATAGTATGTATCCAAATAATATGTCCATTTGAACTTGTATATTAGTTAAAATTTCACATTTATAGTTGGTTGAGTTATGAAATGTAGTGTATGTAATAGTGGTCTCAACCTTATAGGATGAAAATGAATGAGAGAAACCTTAAATGTATATTATTTATCAAATAAGGGGCCCATAAATGGACGCATTTTGGACAAGTGATGGGTAAAGAAAGAACATGGGACGAGTTCGCATGTATGGATTTAGTGTCTCCCTCTAATTTATATATACTAATAGTTTTTAAAGCATGACACAAATGGATTGTCATGGAAAGGCTGAAAATTCGGAGCTTAAGATCCAAAGTTTCCCATGTTCAACATGCTCCGAATAACTTGATCTATAACATCTAATCAGGTAATTATATAATTAATGTTTTCCTACATTATATATGTATATATATCTATGTTAAATTAAATATTCAATTTGTTAGGCCACAAACAACTTCTACTCCTCCGACATGGCAGCTCGACAGTCAAGCATGGCTTTGTCATCGATTACAAGATACTTCTCTTACTCATGGGTAAAGAGTCTAATCATATAGATTACATACTTTTCCAACTTTATTTACATGCACATTTATTTTACATATTAACAAAGGAATGAGATATTGCGGACACAAATTTCAATTTTTAAATCTAGACAAAATGTGCTACATAGTCTAAATCATACGTGACGAAGTTGTGTTATTATTTTTTTAAAAAATTAATTTAATTTCTTTTGAATTCTTTAACAAGACCATCTTCCATCATTTATTACCCATGGGCTATTTCTGATTCTCTCAAATATTGCTTTGAATGTAATGTATGTAGTCATCACCGGATTTACAGTTTGATTTATATCGTTGGAGTTAGGTGATCCTGATATTAATAATGGGACATGGTTTTCGAATGTCGTTGATTGGTGCTTTTGGTTGTATTGATTTTTAAGCTATTGTTTATATGGTCTAAAGCTTCACGGTTGTTACTTTTATATAATTTGTTGTAGTTGTAGTGAACAATTAAGTGATTAAAGCATTATCTGACTATTCCATATCACTTTCAGTTATGATATCTTCACTCTAGCATTTGTACTAGTTTTTTTTTTTTTTATATAGCAATTTAATGTTAAAATACAATTTACTTAAGTAGTAAATCTTGATTTTACGAGGTGGGAGATATTGTTCTAAAAAGTATCATTAGCGCCAAACAGGAAAACAGTGTGCAATCGGAGTACTTAAAAGCACAGACGCATCTAAAGAAGTAGAATGTATATACTGGGACCTGACTATGGGAGGTACAGTTCAAGGCAATCAAAGCCTAATGAAGAGCTTGATCCGACATATGGACTTGTCAAACAATGGACAAGCATTGTGAGCTCATGTTGTTGGCCTGCTCCAATTGTGGTATATTTCTTTCTGAAAGTACTAATTATATATCTAATTCATATTAACTTAAATATAGTTTTCAATTTACCGTCATATGTTTATCTTTTTGGATTGCAGATTTACAAGTTATTATGGATGCTAGCTGAGGAATATTTAACAAGTGAGGTTGAGAATTTGGGAACTGATTTATTTTTGATAATTTTTCTCCCGGAAGATGCATATCCACTAT